CTTCTCCTTCTCCTTCTCCTTCTCCTTCTTCTTCAGGAAATAATGAGCTTTTCTGCTTGGTTGATAGAGGATAACTTTGGGACTTTCAATTATATAGGTCACTAGTTTTAAAAGAACATGCATCATTACAGATCACATCTGTCCTTTGTTCTCAGCCACTGCCCCCTCCCCCGCAAAGGAAGTGGGGGTCAGCACAGGACTCATGGACACCGAATCCTCAGATGTGGAGTCTGGCCCACTTCTAGTGATGGCTGCCCCTGGAGAGAGTGGTGGAACTACAAGCAGGAGGCAAGTTGCAGGGGAGAGGCTGGGCCCTGCAAGGGGATACTCCTCTTCTGGCGCAGAAGTAGAGGACTCGTGGTGGTGGCTTTTCACAGTCATTTCCCTTTGGAAGAAGGATGTGCTCTGAGGACCCACACGAACATATTCAGAGCCAAGCAGAAGAGCTTGGACTACACACAACCATGAATCAATGTAAGGAAACTGGTCAGGGGGATTGGACTTGCTGTAACCACAGTCAAATTTGCAGAGTTGCCTGAGGATCTAGAGTCCCTTCTGCTGGCTGCCCAGTATCAAAGGATGGCCATTCCAGTTCACAGAATGGTTGTTGCCTCCATGGCTTTATCTTCACTCCATAACCATTTTTTAATCTATCAAAGTTCTTAATCATATATACTAATACAGTGGGCTTAGAGGGGGTGGCCCACCCATTGGTAATCTGAACTGGATTTTAGATCAAGTATCTCCCACCTCCAATCACTCCCAAGCCCATTTCACCAAAAATACAAACAGACCTCTCAAACTCAGCAGATTAGAGACAGCTGGCCACATCTTTCTCTAGTTGATCATTATCAAGGTCTCCTGACAGCAAAGAAAGGTCCAGGCTGGCAGGGTGGGATTCTGATGCTCATGATTATAAAGGAAGTAAGGATGAAGGTGACAGACAGCTGAAATGAAAGGCACTGCAGGGTGGGGCAGCCACACACAAAACTCACAGACAAACAAAAACAGGTATTTCTAGTCACAGGGAAACAAACCCAACCTCTTTAAAAGAAAAAAAGTGGGGGGCTGTTGGAATCCCTGACAGGGCTCCCTCAGCATCCCAAACCCTGACCCAAATGGGTCAAGACAAATGACAAACACCCTAGAAGTTGAGCATACAAATTTCACAATTCCAAAGTCCAGGCAAAGAAGGTCCTTGGTCAGCCAAAAGCAAAACCAAATCTATCCAACTGCGATTGGGCAGCCTTCACTGTTTCTCTCCATGGCACTAACCTGTGGTCTGGGCTACCAGCTGAACTCAGCCAAGGCATGGATGGCCTTCAAGGTCACAGACTCAAGGTCTTGATGGGTGCCTCCCTGGAAGAGCCACCCAGAGGGCTCTCTCTGGGGGCCTCCAAATATTGCAGCAAATGTACTTATTTGAGTCACCCATAGACGCTGATGCAGAGACAAGTAAGTTTATTGGGTGCAGCAGTGGACATCAAGTAGAAAACCAAGCAAGGACTCTGAAGGGCAAGAGGGGAGAGTGGTTATACAGTTCTAGATCCGGTTCCAATTCCAGGTGTAGAGGGGTAGTGCTGCCCTGATTTAGTGCAGCTACAGAAATACTATGAAGCATAGGCTTAGTTATGACTAAGGAACAAAAGCGTTCAGCATTTTACATAGCGGTAACTCTAGTGACATTTACAAGAAGCAAACTTAAGGAAACAGAAATTTATACTTTAAAATGATATTGGAACACAAAACAGCACTGGTTTAGTTTTCTTTTCCATGTCAACATAACTTACATTCCTTGTAGGGAGATGATACATGTACATAACAAACTTGAATTCTTTTTACTTCCGTTTCCTTTCCCCTCTCCCTCAATCTATTCCTGTTGTTCTCATTTAAGAAAGATCTGTCTCCCTATTTTCTATTACCTATCTTTTTTATTATTTTTTGTAAATGTATTTAGTACATGCTCTTCAGGGTCTTGCTACACAGATCGGACTCAGTGATCCTCCTGTTTTCAGCCTTCCAAGTACTAGGAGTACAGGTGCACACTACCACGCCCAGTTTCAGTCACTGTCCCAGCATGCCCCAGGGAAGGGGTCTGCACGGCATGCCAGGGATCAAACCCCAGTCACTGCGCCTGAGCTCTCTGGCCGGCCCTCTATTACCTATTTTTATTTTGCTTTTTATTTATATTTTAAGCTTCTCATATGAGAGAAACCATGTGATATTTAATCTGTATGTCATTTCACTTAATATTCTGATCTCAGAAGACATTCTTTTTCTTAAAAGCTTAAAGTTTATCCTGCTGGATGGCAGAGTACCACGCCATTGCATGTAAATATCGCATCTTCTCTATCCATTCATCTATTGGTGGACATACAGGATGCTTTCATAATTCAGCTATTGTGAATTGTACTCCTGTAAACATGGTCATGCATGTATAAATAATATGTTGTCTTTAACTCTTTGGTAAAGAGACATATCAGGAAAATAGCTGTTTGGAAGGGAATTTCTAGTTTTAGTTTTTGAGGAATCTCTATACTGACCTTCATAATAGTCAGACTGGCTTAAACCTCCAACAATGCAGAACAGTTTCTTAGCTCCCTGCTCCCACAACTTCCAGTAGTTTTACCAGCATTCACTGGGATGTGACTTTTCCAGGATAGTCATTCTTTCTGGGCAAGATAGAAACTGAGTGTTGTTTTAATCTGAATTTCTGTAATGGCCAGAGATAGTGAACATCTCATGTATTTATAGGCAATTAATCTTTCTTCTTCCTCTGAGACAAGTGCGCTCATTTTACTTGTTTATTTTTATTGGTCTTTAATTGGGAGGGATCTAATTTTTCCCAATATACTAGATAGTCCTATGTGGGAGGATTAACTGACAAACTCTTTTTTTCCACTTCTGGGTTATCTTTCTTACACTGTTGGATGTTCCTTTGCAGTGTACATTAACTTTAATTTGACATGAACCCATTTGCTGGCTCCTGAAACTATTTCTTGGACAATTTCTGTTCAGACAGTCCTCGTCTATACATAAGACGTCAGGAATCTTAATCTATTTTGTCTTTCTGCAGATTAAATGTTTTGGTTTTAACATTTATATCTTTGATCCATCTTTATTTTAACATACAGTGAAATATATGTTCCTGGATTCAGTTTCCTCCATGTGGGCAACCAGTTTTCCCAACACCATTTATTAAAGAAGCTATCCGTCTTCCAATGTCTGTTTTTGACTCCTTTATCAATCATAAAAAAGCTGTGACTGTGATTATTTCTGCCTCCTCTATTATTCCATTGATTTGCTCTTCTTTTCTTGTGCCAATGCTGGGTTTGTTTATT